AGAAACATAATAATAAGTCTACTAAAAATAAGGAAAAAAAATGGCCGTGCCTACAGACCGAAGAACTCGCTGAACACGTCGAAGTCGTCGCTGTCGTCCTCCTCCTTCTGCTCCTTCACGCGGCCGTCCCTGTTGGACCCCTGCCTGAGGTCCCCATGGCGGACTGGTTTGGCTGGCGGCGGCGGCACCTCGTCATCGCTATCGTCGAGAACGATGACGCCTCCCTCGTCGCGGCCACGGCGCCGAGCGGCGATCTCCTCTAGGGCGTGGCGCTGGCGCTCCATCTCCATCCGGCCCAGTCCTTCCGCGCCCACTTCATGGCGGCCTCGTCATCAAAGGTGGCCTCATCGTTGTGCTCGCGCTTCACGGGGCCGAGCCCCGGTTCCATCTTCGGCCTGACGAGGCGGGAGGCTAGACCCGAGGAACCGCCGCCGCCCTGGTTGCTGACGACGCCGCGGTTGCGCCGGCCAAGCGGCGTTTCCACGGGCTCGGCCTTGACGTTTAAGAGTGTCGGCGACCCGAAGGAGTGGGAGGAGGAGGAGGACCCGCCCAACATCCTCCTCCGCAGCCATGGACCGCAACTCTGGCAGGGAACTGGGGCGGCCGGGTACGTCAGCGGTGGATCGTTGCCGCCCTCAAGGTGCTCGAGGACGCCGTGTAGCGTGCGGCCGGGGCGCCCCACCACAGGCGGCGGCCGTCACTGTTGTTGCGCCCCTTACTAGTGGCGCGTTGTTGATGGAGGCCAGCCGCTCCGCCTGCCAGCGTTCGAAGTACGCCGCCCACACCTCGTGGTTCCCGGCGTCGTACTCCGGGAGGGCTCGCTCTTCCTCCGACAGAGATGCCCGCACACGGTCGATCTCGGCCTTGACGTAGTAGGGGTGCTCGACGTCGGGAAACGGGGGGACGGGGCCGCCCCCGACGCTGAGGCTCCACCGCCCCGTCGTGTGCATGTCGGGAGGTGTCGGGTAGTTCGCTTCATGGAGGAGATGGGCTTCCCACTCGTGCAGAGAGCAGTAGCCGAAGCCATTGGCTGCTGCCCCATCGCCGGGGAACCTTTCACCCATCGTCTGTGCGTGCACGGGAAGAGAGGGAAAGAGAGTTCAGCGGCGGCGGCTGTGCGTGCACGGGGAGAGAGGGGGGG